GCCGATGGTCACCAGTTGGCTCTCGTAGGTTAGACTAACCCACGATGAGCTGCGCATCTCTCGCTTCGTACCGGTCAGTAATCCGATTCCTCAAACGAATATATTCTGACGGGAGCAATCAGGGACGTTTATTATAAAGGCCTATCGGTTTAGCATGCCACGTCCACCCATCACCTTCTGTCGAAGCATATTTGACCAACTGTGACCGGCACCACTCGGCCTTGCCTTTCTTGTTCACAAAAGGGCTCTGCAAGTTGTACATCGCGGTACAGGAATCCCCTCTCGGGTTGCATGGGAAATCTTCCCTGGGCTGCCATGCGAATCCGGTGCACCGCTATTCAGGACGCCACATTGGAGCGCGCCATCCATTACGAATTTGCGAAATGTTTATTGGACAGATCTACCGGTTAGATCGTTTTTAGGTTATGATGCGCTCATTGGATTAGTATATAAGGCTAGCCTGAGTGGACGAATGGTACGGTCATCCTCCCCTCTTTTCTTCCTCTTCTCTACCTGAATTTGGGCCGGGTTCTTCCCCTCTGTAGGGCCTGTTGACCTGGTCTTTGCCCGACACAACTCGAATGTGTTCGTAGCTTTTGCACACTGTGCCTGAGTGCGTCGCCCGAGTCGTGGCGGCCGCAAGGATCAAGTCGCCAGGTTGCTCCGCAGAGGTACAGGGGTATACTGGGTCCCTGGTAGCTCATCACCGGTATGTTATACCTGCCGTCCTCTTTGTCGATAAGGCTTTGTTGTTCATGTCTTACGCTCTGAGAATTACCAATGTTTTCTTTTAGATCTATCGCGGAAGTATACTGGGTTACGGTACCCTCGTAATTCGCTCTAGTTGTTCTGCCTGCCAATGTTCCATTGAAGTACCACATTGTAATAGACAAGAAGTGGCTAAATGGGCAGCACTCGGGGGGAAGGGGGGCAATTGTATAAATAACGACTCATTGCCATGTAAACACTGTAGTCTACATTTCAAATGGTTTACTAGATGTAATTTGGAGGTCTTGCGGCGAGAAAAATATGTTCGGAGAGATAAACAATGACTATAGTTTGAGAAATTAATGGTGGAACCGTACATAAGGAAACAACAATTCGAAAATGTTCATTTGGTGCATTTCAGCTCAAAGATAGGGTGTTGCTCATCCTCTGTTCCCTCCCACGAATCACCACCCGGATGTACCTCCATCAGCCCTCCGAACATTGTACATGGACCCAACCAATCGCACCGTGATACTTCCTGCTGTGGACTTAGGAAACTGGAATCTTCTGCGCGATTTCTCCAGTATGTGTTGCTGAGCACGATCCGTTGGCGAGGCGAGGCACCATCTTGTTCTTGCTGCGTGATTGGGATATTCATGAATGAGTAGATTTGCTCAATCACATCTCCGCATGTGAGACCTATTTCAGGGCTTCCAGCAGTTACCGTGAGCTCCCACGGGAAGTGTCTGGAGGTGAATTTAAGAAACCCAACCCGCGGCCATGTCGCAGCTGAATATCGACCTTCCATCCATACACGATGGGAACAAGTGTTGGGTTTGTTAAGTTTGTCTGGAGGTAGTAGCATGTTCCATATAAGGAAGGGCGATCCACAGGAATTGTCAATAAAGTGGTTCAATGCGGGCTGAGGCAGAAGAAGTGGATGAAGTTCAAGCTTGGGCTGCACTGCTTTCTTGAGGGATGAGGGACTCCGATACCAGCCAATTGCGAGATATCGCTTCACTATGGATGCAGTAGGGCGGATATCGTGTTGTTGAGCCCAGCAGGCACTCATCAATTTCCACATCTGGTCTGGTATCGGCCTCTGAGATGAGTTACGCGGGGGACGCTCGCCATGCAGCACCGCTGCCAATATTTGATAACTTTTGCGATCTTTAAAGGGTTTGCGGCCATCGTACATCTGAAGCTATTATCAGGAAGTGCTCGACTCGAAAGAACCAGTCGCAATCCCACCTCCCAACAGACAGACGCATATGAGTATATGTCGCTGGCATTACTAGGCTGCGAACTGCGCAACCCGAATCCTTCGGGATACAGTAGCTCAGGGGCACTCCAAGCTATCGCACCGCCTTGATGAATACTTGATGTCGCAGAGGTAGTATCAGCAAAATTGGCCAGACCAAAGTCCGCCAGAAGAACATGTCCGTCATCGTCTATCAGAATGTTAGTAGCCTTGGAGTCCAGAGTCGTCAGCTGTGTGAATAACCAAACATAAACGTAACTCACCGCGCGCAAGTCACTATGGACGACATTTTCGCTGTGAAGGTACATAAGACCCGTAGCTATTTCCTTGCACTTTGCGTATCATATCAGCATAGGCCATGCAAAATCGTAAATTAAACTCACCAGCCTATGGACCTCCGAATCAAGAAGCGGTCTGTCTCTTGCAGCAGAATATTCTTGCAAGCTACCATTTCTCATCCATGGAGACACCATGCATGTAGCACCCGGGAAAAGACTGTCATCAATCCCGAGGAATGGCAGGACATTGGAATGTTTCAAATGTCTCCAAATTGCAGCTTCTCGGCGGAAAACCTAAACTGCATTCATCAAGAAATTCTGGAGCATATCTGACGAATTTACATACTCTGGCAGTTCTGGCGCGCTCTTGATCTGTTTGATACAAGAAGGATCGTAGCCTCTTGATAGTGACTGCAGTGCCGTTGTGTGTACCTTTATATACATCTGCAAACGCTCCCCCTTGAACAGACGTCTCGGAAGTTAATGTGTACCAGATAGGCGCAAAAACGGCGGTATTATAGATGCCGCCTCTGAGAGTCTCGCACTTAGGCGACGAAGCCTTTGCTGAAAAATCTTCCGATCTCCATGTGACAATAATATCATTTTGGACGGGGACGCTTCTTCTACAGCCCCTGAGATATCGCAGATGACCTTTAGAGAAGATATATAAAAATCAGGAAAGATGTCTATTGAACGGGATAGAGACTGACCTTCTCAATGAGATCTAGGAACGCTTGCGTACGAGGTGCGCTGCGAGACAGTGCGAAGGTGATGTGTTCTTGACCAGGAGAAAGATCCATCAGGTCTTTGAGGGACCATACCAGTTGAAGTTCGTCATGATAGAGAGCAATTTCTACTTCTTTGGTAGACACGTGTTGATTTAATTGTGATAAAGCCTGGAAAAAACTCCGCTCAATGAACAATATACGGTCAGAAGATAAAGATAATGCACATGCAGAAGTATGCGGCGAAGGTGGCGACCATCGGATAGGATGTAGACCTTATTGGCCGAATCAGCCGCCATATTGTAGTGCAAGATAGTCATTCGGCTGCGAGTAACCGTATTAGTTTATTAAGGAAAACTCTAGTCATGATAGAATAACTTACCCGTCCTCGCATCGTTGATCCCAGCCAGATACGAAGGCACACTGCCTGATAGCCGATAGTAGTAGGATAGCTAGATGCTAATCACCAGAGTTAACATAATCACAGACAAAGGGAAGGGAAAGCTCAACTGTATACAGCTCTGCATGCAGAGAAATCAAAGGTAAAGGAAGACTCGGAGACATAGGAGAAATTGCATTCTGCATGGCAAATTTCAGACAATTCAGCTAGAGAAGGTTATCCAGTACTTACGAGCGGACGACCCATGGTAAAACGTATGAGAAGATCCTTCATCCGGGGATGCACTATCTTAGCCTGATATATAACTTGGTGACATGCTCTGAAGAATCCGACAAGACTGTAGATAATGAAACCCTGCGAGAGAAAAGGCTATATATTTTCCACGAGGCTATGCACTCAGTAGGTATGAGGAAGGGGCACCGGAAGGATCATAGGTAGGCGTAGAAGGAGCGGAATGAGAGGAGCGTTATGAGGGCAGAGAGATTGAAAGGAAGTCGGCTGACCATAGTATGGCAGTGGATATTGGTCCGAAAGTAGTAGATAAGCAAGGATGAGTAAAGGTATGATTGGTATATGTTGCCTGGATTACCTCGCAGCTACCGCATCCCCTACCTCTGAAGCTTAATATCAAGCGCGCCTTGTATCTCCTCAGAACCTTCCTCGGACCTTGACTTGATGGGCGTGTTCATCTACAAAGATAAAGCCATTGAAATTACTTGCCGGATCTTCAGAAACAATCAAAGTACACCAGATGGGTTTCTCACTGAGATGCTCCGAGTCTCCTCATTATTCGATGCCTTCCCTTTTTGCATCTTCGGCGTAAGTAGTATGGCAATCATGGCATATTAGGGTACAGCACGAGGCAGAGCGACTACACAAATTGACCCTCAAGAAGGGGGGAAGGTGGGGATTGCGTGACATGTAGCCCTTGAAGTGAAAGTCTATCGGCACATATCCGTGAATGAAGGTGTCCTTGTAAGTTGTATCCAGCATTCAGTTTCAGAGTCGCAAGCGAAGGGACGTTAGACTCTTACCGTAGATCAAATCGGAGTAGGTTGTTTCAAAATCCAGATAATCCGAGTCGTTGCGGTTAAGGCCCCAGTCGCCAGGAGCCTACGTCTGCCCATAAGCTGTCTATGTTTGGTATTAGCCTGGAACCTGAGGACAAAAGCGCAAGCACGTACGGTCGGTATCAACTGCGGTACATGAGATCAACCCGACCCTAGCTCGCGGATGATATTGCCAATTGCACAGGGCAAAAAGATCAAATCGTGAACGTGGGATTGCAGACGAGGATCCATTAGGTTGTGTATGATAGCAAGGTCCGGGACCATCAACGTCGCAATTGAAGGTATTGCCATCTCCGTCAGCGCTGGAACATTGAACGAGGATGCTACTCAAGAGGCTCAACACGAAGGACGATGATCTTGGAAGTAGGGTTTCGACGAGTGCTCGGGTGTAAGTGCCAAAACTCAGACGCGAGCACCGGCAGGAGAGTGTCGATGATGCTGCGCATATCGCGCGAGTTGATGAAGAGGCCCGCGGGGGTAGAAAGAATGAGAGAGATAGTCTGTCCAAACTTCAGTCTTATTGACGACTTGAAACAAAAAGGAGGACAGAGAAAAATATGGCCAACGCCGGGGTCGAACCGACGACCTTGGCGTAATCTGATATTAGCACCACGCTCTAACCAACTGAGCTAGTCGGCCTTACAGTCTAAATAACCTGGATTATCCTAGTGCTCTCACTTGCGGTTGGTGGAACTTCTGAGATAATAATGTCAATTTCGACGTATGATTTGTTAGGCTTTATGCCCTTCGATCTTGTGCTTATGACTCAAGGTGTGGTCCGATCTTATGAAAAACTTCTCTGAAACCGCCTTGCTTTGCAGACCTTATGTTCCCGCCAGCGTGCGAGCACTACGACAGCCTGAGTACCTTCGACTCGGAGAAGTGGGAACAAGTAGTAGAACGGGATGGTCCGTAATCACTTGACGTGTTACATTGTACTGAATGACGATCCTGCGGCTGAAGCCCATAAAACCTGAGAAAACGGAGAAGAGGAAATGTACGTTTACAAATAACCAAGTTCAAGTTCTGCTGCGTGCCAATGACGAAATTCTACTACGGCGATTTCTTTTCTTCGTCGGGGAGGCTTGAGGGGCTCAGCTTCCGCTTTGGGTGGGAGTTCACCAGTAGCCCCGCTTGTTCCATGGCAGCTCGAGCTGCAGGACCTGCAACACGCTTCACCCCTGGTGGCATATGCACTCTATAGCTGTTACGTCCGGATAGTGTCAGTCGCATGAGTTGCAGAGGATGTGCTGAACGGTCAAGACTCATGACAATAAGGCGTGGTGAAGTCACAGCTCCTATGTTGCGACGAGAATATCTTGGGCCCAGGGTAGGAGCACGCAGCGCCCAGTGTGCGAGTCGAGGGAAACATAAGGATACTCACTGTTGTTGTAGATTATCTCGTCTGGCGAATCGCATGTCACAGCCTAAATGAGGACATTTGTGTTGACGTTCGCCGGTATGCATTCGCTTGTGTCTGGCGCGATGTCCGGCGGTCTTAAAAGGGCGACCGCAGGTAGCGCAAACATATTTTTTGTCGTCCATGATACTAGGGGAATCCTGTTGTGGAAGTCCTATTTATAAAATACATGAGTCAGAGAAATACAGGCTGCAGATGCAGAGCGGGTGGAACCGAACCTGTGGATCTCACAATCTGTGATCTGTCGTGGTCGGTGGATGTTCCACTCGTCACTCCAAGTCTGGTTGAATGAGACATGAGCTCTCGTGAGCACATCGCTGCGATGAATTTATACGATAATACATACTGGGGCAAGGTTTCTTTGGAGCTTTCCAGCCTGGTGCACAATGAAAGGGAAAGGAAGTGAGAGGACCCGACGAGCATGTAGTATTAGTAGCAATATGCGCGCAGCTGAGATCGATGTGGCTGTAGTTCACCATGCATATCACACGTGCTATGTCTGACAGCATCAGCGCAATGAAGCCTTGTATGTCGTATTTGTTCCGATGTGGAGGCTCGTACTAGTAGTGCTTTCGGCATGTTACGGAGAATCTGGAAGAATGGAAGAATGTGGCATGTTTGAGCCGCCTTCTAAGCAAAAGGTCAGATAAAACGATGCAAAGAGGGAGTAAAATTACAAGCAATTGACTTTAATGGAGCCGTTCCATGAGAGCTTTGACTGTGATGGTACTACTCGCCCAAAACGTGATCCTATAAGAAAATTCGTATCATGGCCGCGCGCTACTACGAAGTGTCAAATACCGAAACAAACCTGAGACAGCCTGGTATGAGATGCTATAACACATTAATATTGCTACTCACCAAAATCTCAGTAGAGAGCTCAGGAGACAACGAGTCAATCGAAGTTGGCCGTTCTGTTGAACGTCTCAAATTAATATTGATCAACCCGACCCACAACATTAAGCGCCTAACCGATAAGCAATATTTTGAACTTTAACCTAGATTATCTTCACTTAGGCTGAGTACAGTACTAAGTAGTAGCACGATGTGAAGGACAAGGATTTTAATGCCAAGACTGAACCTTTTTGAGACACTAACATAATAGCATTGACTGCAGATCCCGCCGCCACCGTCGCCATCCACTTTAATCTGCCTGCTCGGCGAGACTCATCAACACTTACGGAGGTCCCATGCCGTGGTGAATGGATTATGCTCAAGTTGCGATCAAGATGCATAGAAAAGATAACGAGGATCAATACAACCCGAGTCCTTCAATTACTCTAAATCTTCGCCAGTACCGCTTTCGCACCCTTCCTTGTCAAAGTTCTGTCTCTCTTGTTCGCCGAGAAGCCACCAACAGCTCCCCCTTCGTTGCCCGGTATGGTGTTCGGGGTGGTGTTCGAAGATGAATGTCGTATAGGAAGGATTTTTTGGGCCCACCGCCGCATGCCTTGCATCGCTGACTGTCTCTTGTTTTTAGGTCCATTAACTGGGACCTGCAGATTCGTCTCTTCAATAGGGGCAAGCGAGTTCCCTTCACTAAGCGACAGCGAGTAATGAGAATCTGTTCGCTCATCAATGAGTGTCTGGGAATTGAGGGTACCGCTCGGCTCTGTAGAGTAGCCGGAGCCATTCTGGCTGCCACCCCTTCTTCGATATGCATAAGAACCAGAGGGAGAAAGAAGCCTGAGAGACGGCATTTCCCTGGATAAATTGCTGCGGCCAGCGCCAAATGATGGGGTGGCAGCGAAATGCACAGAGGATCGCACAGACAGGGTAAGAGATGGGGTTGAATTGCCTGCTGAGAGCATCGAAGGCACCCCAGCTGACATTGATGCCAACGAACTCTGAGATATAAACGCAGGAGATCCAACGCTGATACCGTCGTGTATTGGCGACAGATCCTGATCCATTGACAGAACAGTATCATATACCCCAGATGACATTGCAGATTGAAGAGCGCCAAGTAACATCCGGGCAGTTGGGCGAAATTGCGGGCGATGTTCCCAACAGGAGCATATCAAAGACCACAGCGCATCGGGTATTTCTCTGCTTGAGGACTCGCGCAAAGCGCGGGTGCCGACGACAACCTTGCTTGAGATTTGTAAGCCTTTCAAGGGGTGAAATGGCGGCAGGCCAACATGGATCTTCGAGTCATATAGATCTGATTAGTTCGACGTTAAATGGATAGATTCTCAAGCGTACCTCCCAGCAAACAGAACTAAATGCGAAGATATCACTCTCGTATGTCACATGAGAAGAACTCAATCCAAATGTCTCAGGGTCCAGAAGCTCCGGAGCCTGCCATGCCGCCGCTCCAGGCTGAGTTGAGGTAGTGGGTGAGGATGTGGAATCACCAAAGTCTGCCAAACCAAAATCAGCGAGGAGCATATGGCCCTCATCATCAACTAAGATATTAGGCTGTGGAATTTTATGAGATAGAGCGCCGAAGATCAAAGCACAGGAGACCTACACCCCGTAAATCACCGTGGACGATCCTCTCTCTGTGAAGATATGCTAAGCCCGATGCAATCCCGGTCAGCTGGAGGGTGTTTGTTATTGGAAGCCAATGAATAATGTAGGGATTGACCACACACCACTTCAAATACTTCCGTCTCGGAAAACATTTCATTAGGCTTTGACTTTCTAAAGTCATGCACGTTTCCCTTCCCCATCCACGGAGATACCATGCACAAGCAAGGTGAGGGGCCTGAGAATAGCGTAGAGTTGATTCCTAGGAATTTGAGAATATTGGGGTGATCGAGGTGCTTCCACATGAGGGCCTCGCGGCGAAACAACTTGCGAAGGATAAGACGCAAGTTTAAAGTAGTGAATGTTATCGACTACCTTAGAAGTACGTGCCCTATCCTTCGGTGATTGGTACAAAAATACGCGAAGCCTCTTCATCGCGACTAACTGATCGTTATATTTGCCCTGGTATATGTCAGCAAATCCCCCTCCCGTGAGGCATTCCGGATGCTCGAGAACGACGACTTTTAGATATAGCGAGGGCGGCATACAGTCTGACACCTTTGCCAGATGTATGCTGGCACGTCGAAGGCGCGAGCGGAATGCAGCGTCTTCAGTCGGAAGTATACTGGCCTCGGCTTCTTCTTCAGTACTCGGATGTCTGTATCGAATGTCATCTAGGATCTGTAAGACACTGTGAGAATACTCCAAAAGAAATAGCTCATGATCGCTGACTTCTTCGATGAGTTCCAAAAATGCTTCGGATAGATGCGAATTGTCGGCTAATGCATCGATATCCTTGCGGTGCCCGTGGCTCTCGAGGAGGGTCCTCATGAGTTCGATGATGTCTCCTCGATCATCGCTGTATGCTTGGGATATTCGATTCTGTTGGATGGTTCCGGCAGAGTCTAGAATCTAGTGAAATCTTAGCGAAGCGCCTTGTCAAAATGAACGGTCTCACTTGTAGCAGGCGTGCACGGAATGAATCACTCTCAGCCAGAACCCGGGCTAAATTTTCTGTCCTAGAAAAAAAATTCTCTAACTCGGAGAGTAGAGCGTAACTATCAGAAGATTAGTGAAGATCGTATCATGAAGGAAAACGAACCGAACCTATCCCGGCACAATTTGTCTTGAGATGGTACTTTTATAACTTCCAAAGTGATTTCTAACAAAAGGGTTGACAGCCTCTGTTTTACAATCAATGCCATGAGTTGCAGATAATGAAGAGTGAGATCTACCTGGTGGATTTGGGGCACCTTGCGGTCCGCGATCTTCGCACTCTCCTTACCCGCTGGAGGCTCATCATGATTGATTTCGATGCAGCTATCGAACTGAAATATAGCTTCAGTAAGAAAAGCAAGAATGAAGATACTTTCTCACGTTATTGGAATGAAACAAGGCAACATGCAGCTGAGCAACTCCTTTACTCTCTGAGCTGAAGATTGCGTGACCACATTCCTTGCAGGAATAACGTGATTGGACCATATTACAAGTACTAGTAGTTGGCAAGTCTGCCAAAAAGCCGAAAATTGATTCACAGAGACCCGACTTACGCAGGATAGTCACTACTGCTCCTGAGGCTCGTGGTACTAGGGGTTGAAAAGACAGACGCTGAGTATCAGGCCGCTGTCACGTAGGGATGTGACGCTGATGGAATAGATTGGACAGCGTCAATGCTGTATAAGCAGAACACAGCGAATCTTCCTCTGGGCAATTGGAGCGTAGTAACCAGCGAGGGCCATGAGGCAGC